ACAGATGTGAGCCACAACAACCGGCCAGAAAAATCTTTAAATTTGCCTATAACCTGGAAGCCCCAGCTTTCAGCTGCCCTACTTTTCCAGACCACACCAATGTACATCTCACATGTATTGATTGATGTCTCATGTCTCCCCAAAATGTATAAAACCAAGCTGTAGCCCGACCACCTTGGGCACATGTTCTCAGGAGTTCCCGAGGCTGTGTCACAGGCCACGGGTCACTCATATTTGGTTCAGAATAAATCTCTTGAAATATTTTATAGAGTATTTTCATCAACAGGTGGTTGCTAAAATGCAGGTGGCAGAGCCAGCTGTGTTCTACCTATGACAATTCTGTGTGGTGCTCACCACCCTGCTCATGGAGGGGGGCTTTAATCACTAAACTGCTGGAGTCATTCACTCTCTATGACTAATGCTTTTCATTCTGCAACTTCCCACATATAAATGTGGCCCGGCTGGCTCAGTTTCTACTTGGACAGTCTCCAGATGTTATTTTCCTTCTGTTTCTATAAGCCTGTTTGCAATACATCTTATGACATGAATAGATTAATTTCAATGGCCATCACAATTAATTGTTTTCTCCCTCAACAGATAAGCATTTTTTACACATCTGAGCCAAGATGCACAAGGTCAATTATGCTGCGGGGCATTTGAGAAGGGGCTTGGTTCAGTTGCGAACTGACTGCTGAGTTGCAAACCCCAGTGTCTGGTGGGAGGGACAGGGCAAGGACTTTCAGATTTTACTATAAATGCTTGAGTATTGCTCAAATCTTTTATGCTAAGAATGTATTTCCACTCTTCTGTAATGAAAAATAAAATTTAAAATTAGCCAGGGGTGGCAGGTACCTGTAATCCCAGCTACTCAGGAGACTGAGACAGGAGCATCACTTGAACCCGGGAGGTGGAGGTTGCAGTGAGCCGAGATCCTGCCACTGCACTCTAGCATGGGTGACAGAGCAAGACTTTGTGTCCAAAAAAAAAAAAAGAAAAAAATTTAAGGCCGGGCATGTTGGCTCACACCTGTAATCCCCGCACGTTGGCAGGGCAAAGTGGGAGGGTCACTTGAGGCCAGGTGTTCAAGATCATCCTGGCAATATAGCAAGACCCCGTCTCTACAAAAGAAAAAAAATAGGCTGGGCACAGTGGCTCATGCCAGTAATCCCAACACTTTGGGAGGCCGAGGCAGGTAGATCACTTAGGTTAGGAGTTCGAGACCAGCCTGGCCAATGTGGTGAAATCCCATCTCTACTAAAAATACAAAAATCTGCAAGGCATGGTACACGCCTGTAATCCCAGCTACTCAGGAGGCTGAGGCAGGAGAACTGAATGAACCTGGGAGAAGGAAGTTGCAGTGAGCTGAGGAAGGGCCACTGCACTCCAGCCTGGCCAACAGAGTGAGACTCTGTCTCAAAAAATAAATAAAAGAATAGTTAAGAAAAAAAAAAGAAGCGAATGTTATAAACAAACACATAGTTTCCTGTACTGCTGGTAGAACAGCCTGAATTTCAGTGCTTGGCTTCCTGGATTCAGGTACCAGTTCTGCCTCTCACCGGCTGACCTTTTGGGGTGGGGGTCACTGATCCTTGGGAAGCCTTAGATATCTCATCAGCAAAATGGGCTGAGCACAGATTAAGAGAACATATTTTAAGAATTTAGCATAATAGGCCAGGCATAGTGGCTCACAGCTGTAATCCCAGCACTTTGGGAGGCCAAGGTGGGCAGATCACGAGATCAGGAGATCGAGACCATTCTGGCTAACACGGTGAAACTTTGTCTCTACTAAAAATACAAAAAATTAGCTGGGTGTGGTGGTGGGCACCTGTAGTCCCAGCTACTCGGGAGACTAAGGCAGGAGAATGGCATGAACCCGGGAGGCGGAGCTTGCAGTGAGCCAAGATCGCGCCACTGCACTCCAGCCTGGGTGATAGAGTGAGACTCCGTCTCAAAAAAACAAAACAAAACAAAACAAAACAAAATTAGCTGGGCATGGTGGTGTGCACCTGTAATCCCAGCTACTTGTGAGGCTGAGGCAAGAGAATCGCTTGAACCCAGGAGGCAGAGGTTGCAGTGAGCCATGTTGCGCCACT